ATTTATTTTATTTTGTTTTGTGTCGTTTGGTCCCGGAAGTGGAAACTTGTCGGGAAATTTCTTGTGGAGCATTTGATTAATAGTCTATATGCCTTTTATGTGGTTATAGATGGCTCCAAAACGGCGTGGGCGCCCAAAGGGTAGCCGTAAGGATCAGGGCACTCCTTCGATCCCAGCTGCCAGTCCCTCTACTCAAGCTGCTCCGCAGGAGGGAGGGACGAGCAATCCCCAAGTGTCTGCCTTTGTTCAGGAACTTATGGCAGAGATAAGACGCCAAGTATCTCCTGCCACGAGTGTGCCACCTCCATCCCCGGTGGTCTCCACTCCTACGGCCCCTGCTCCAATTTCTCTTGTTCCTATCTCTTCTGCTCCTGCTGTGCCTAGCTGGAAGGTTTATTCAGAATTTCGGAAGCTGGTGACCCAGAGATTTGATGGTACTGCAGGTTTTGAGCAAGTGGGATCGTGGATCACCGAGGTGGAGCGGGGATTCCACCTACTGCACGTTTCTGATGACCTTAAGGTCAATGTAGGCAGTTTTATGCTTGCTGGGAAAGCATTAACTTGGTGGGTGAGTTATATGAAGCTACACCAAGGAGAGCCTGAATTGAGCACCTGGGATGGTTTTAAGAAGGTGTTCATGCAAGAGTACATACCGGATAGCAGAAGGCGGGAACTGCAAAGGGAATTTGCAGATTTGAAGCAAGGGTCAGGTACTGTTGAGCAGTACAAGGAGGAATTTGACCGCTATCTGCCTTTTGTGGGTAGCCAAGTTGCCGATGAGCAAGCCAAGGCTGATAGATTTCTGTGGGGCTTGAATTCCGACATTTATTTGGCGGTAAACCAATTTCAACCCGCCACTTATCGAGAGGCAGCGGACAGAGCCATAGACCAGGAGAAGGCTATGGCTAGGGTCAAGTCCTCAGGACAGCACGGTGTCGGGTCATACCTAGGGAAGAGAAAATTCGATGGGAGCCGTAGGCCCTTTGTCCCTGCACCGCCTAGGCCTGCTATCAGCAAGGGTTCTAAATGGTCAGGAGCTATCAAGACTGGGGGCCAAGCATCCACGGCCCAACGTGCTCGCCCTACTCCACCTACTTGCCACTTTTGTGGGAAGGTTGGGCACACCCATGATCAGTGCCACTTTTTTACTGGAGCTTGCTTCAAGTGTGGCAAGCAAGGACATCATATTGCAAATTGTTCGCTGCCAGACCCCAGAACTCAAAATACCCAATCTACGTCTCAACAAGGGTCTACCAATCAAGGGGCACCGAAGCAGAATGTCGGGGTTAGGACAAGAGCCCAACAGGCAAGAGCCCAAGCCCAGCAGGCAAGAGTCCACGTGATGACCCACCAGGAAGTTGCAGTTATCGACGTAATCACGGGTACTTTGCCTGTTAGCTCTGATTTTGCTCATGTTTTATTTGATTCGGGTGCATCGCACTCTCCTTTATCGCTCGATCTTATGCTTTGAAAGCCTGTTGATACCTCTGATTTTGAATTGCATGTAGACACCCCTTTAGGAGGGGTGATGACTACTAGAGATGTGTGTAGAACTGTGAATATCTATATTGATGGTAGACAGTTGAGTGCTAATCTGTTTGTTTTAGATATCTCCGATTTTGATATCATTTTGGGGATGGATTGGTTGTCAAAACATTTTGCTTCTATAGACTGTTATCGGAAATGGATAAATTTTAATATTCTTGGTGAGCTAGAATTTAGTTTCAAAGGCAATGGTTCTTTTGCTCCACCTGTGTTAGTATCTGCCTTGCAGGCTCAGAAATATCTTGTAAACGGTTGCCAGGGTTTCCTAGTCTCCGTTACTGATGCTAGTAGTGTAACATCGAGACTAGAAGACATACCGGTGGTGCATGAGTTTCCGGATGTATTTCCGGAGGATCTCCCAGGTTTACCTCCGGATAGAGTGGTTGAATTTGCTATTGACCTTGTTCCTGGCACCGGACCCATTTCTAAAGCACCATACCAAATGGCTCCTACGGAATTGAAGGAGTTAAAAGTCTAGCTGGAGGAACTCCTTGAGAAAGGGTTTATACGCCCTAGTGTGTCACCTTGGGGAGCTCCAGTGTTGTTCGTCAAGAAGAAGGATGGGAGCATGAGGCTATGCATTGATTATCGAGAATTGAATAAGGTGATTGTGAAGAACCGGTATCCCCTTCCTAGAATTGATGACTTGTTTGACCAGCTCAAGGGTGCCCAGGTATTCTCTAAGATTGATCTTCGATCTGGTTATCACCAGTTAAAGATTAAACCTGATGATGTGCCAAAGACTGCCTTTCGCACCCGTTATGGTCATTATGAATTCTTGGTTATGCCTTTTGGCTTAACAAATGCCCCTGCCAGATTTATGGACTTGAGGAATCGGGTATTTAGCCAGTATCTAGACCAGTTTGTGGTTGTCTTTATTGATGACATTTTGGTCTATTCCTCTAGCCATGCTCTTCATGAAAAGCACTTAAGGACAGTCCTCGAGACATTGAGAAGTGAGAGGCTATTTGCTAAATTTAAGAAGTATGAATTTTGGCTAGATAATGTTGCATTCCTAAGTCATGTTGTGACTAAGGATGGAATCTCTGTTGACCCCAGAAAATTGAGGCCGTGGTGAATTGGAAAAGGCCGAATAATGTCGTAGAAATTCGGAGTTTTATGGGATTGGCTGGTTATTACCGTCAATTTGTGGGGGATTTCTCTAGAATTGCCCAGCCAATGACTCGTCTGATCAGGAAGGATGCCAAGTTTGAGTGGACTCCAGAGTGTGAGGAGAGCTTTTTGACCTTGAAGCAGAAGTTGGTCACTGCTCCTGTACTTGCACTTCCAATCCATGGGGAAGGATTCACCATATATAGTGATGCCTCTAAAAAGGGTTTAGGATGTGTCTTGATGCAGAAGGATAGGGTTATTGCATATGCCTCTCGGCAGTTAAAGCCTTATGAAGAAAATTACCCTACCCATGATCTGGAGTTGGCAACCGTGATATTTTCACTCAAGATCTGGAGGCATTATCTATACGGTGAGACTTGTGAGATTTTTACTGATCACAAGAGCCTTAAGTATATTTTCACTCAAAAGGAGCTTAATATGAGGCAGAGGCGATGGCTTGAACTTTTGAAGGACTATGACTTGACTATTAGCTACCATCCGGGCAAAGCTAACAAAGTAGCAGATGCGTTGAGTAGGAAGTCCTCTGGCACTGCCTCTAGCATCCTTGCCACTCAGAAGGAGCTACTTGAGGATCTTATGAAACTGGATGTGGAGTTGAGAATGGATAGCACTACGGCTTATCTAGCCGCTCTCAGTGCACAACCGGCATTAATAGATAAAATTAAACTTGCCCAGCAAAAAGATCCTTTCTTGCAGAGGATGAAGGAAAAAGTAAAAGCCGGGGAACCCCACATGCAAGAATTCAGAATTTCTGAAGATGAGATTCTGTGGTTCGATGACAGGCTGTGTGTACCAAGAGATCATGCTTTAAGGCATGAGATTATGGGAGATGCCCATTATATTAGCTATACAATTCACCCAGGTAGCACCAAGATGTATCGCGATTTACGTAGTACATTTTGGTGGCGGAACATGAAGAGGGAGATAGCTAAATTTGTCTCACAATGCCTGACTTGCCAAAAAGTCAAGGCTGAACACCAGAGACTTCCTGGAAAACTGCAGCCTTTACCTATTCCCCAATGGAAGTGGGAGAACATCACCATGGACTTTGTGACTGGTTTACCACGAACCTTAAAGGGTAATGATTCCATTTGGGTCATCGTTGATCGATTGACCAAATCAGCTCACTTCTTACCCTACCAGACTGGCACCTCCATAGAAAAGCTTGCCAATATGTACATGGAGGAAATAGTCAAGCTACATGGAATCCCAGTGTCTATTGTGTCTGATAGAGATACCAGATTTTTATCTCATTTTTGGACAAGTTTACAGCAGGCACTCGGTACTCAATTGAATTTCAGCATGGCCTTCCATCCTCAAATTGACGGGCAATCTGAGAGAACTATTCAAATACTTGAGGACATGTTGAGGGCTTGTGTTCTAGATTGGAAGGGTTCGTGGGACCAACACTTATCCATGGCCGAATTTGCATACAATAATAGTTATCAGTCTAGCATCCGCATGGCGCCATTTGAGGCTTTGTATGGTCGAAGGTGTAGATCACATGTTTGTTGGACGGAAGTGGGTGAAAGGAGTATTTTAGGCCCAGAATTGGTGCAGCAATCTTCTGAGATTGTGCAATTGATCAAGGAACGCCTTCGTACTGCGCAAAGTAGGTAGAAAAGCTATGCGGATAGAAGGAGACGAGACCTTGAGTTTGAAGTTGGTGACCATGTATTTTTGAAGGTGTCACCCACTCGAGGTGTCCTCAGGTTTGGCATCCGGGAAAAATTGAGTCCGAGGTATATTGGACCGTATCTTATCTTGGAAAAGATTGGCGAGGTAGCTTATAAATTGGAGTTGCCTGGAAATTTAGCGGGTGTGCATGATGTGTTCCACGTGTCCTTACTTCGAAAGTATGTTCCCGACCCGAGTCACATCATTAATCCTGGACCAATTCAACTCCGGGAGGATCTCACTTATGACGAGCACCCGATCCGCATTTTAGATTTAAAGGAGAGAATAATGCGGAGAAGGACCATTCGTTTTGTTAAGATCCTCTGGGACAACCATTCAGTTGAAAAAGCTACTTGGGAGTTGGAATCCAAGATGAGGCAGGAACATCCGCACCTCTTCCAAGATTGAGGGATGAGTTTAGGGGACTAAACTCCTTTTTAGGAGGGGTGGATGTAATACCCCAAAATTTTCGAGAACAATTAAGTGTGAGTTAAGGACCTAATTGTGAGAAAATAATGTTTTTAAACTTAACCATCAGATTTTCAAAAGTCAAGGGGCTAAAAAGCAAACCAATTTGGATAAGGATCAAGCTTAGATATTTTTTTCTTTCCTTCCTCATTTTCACGCTGATCTGCTCTGTCTTCTTCCCGATCCTTCCTCCCGAAAAGCCCCCAAGCCACCGACTCTCTCTCTCTTTGAAAAAAAAAAAAAAACCGGTGAAGGCCTCTTGAAATTTCCCTCCTTTCTTGCTCAAGAACCAAGTTTCAAGCCTAGACCTCTCTCCCTCCACCCAGAAATTTCAGATCTACTCTGCGTCTTCCTCCCTCTGCCGTCCGCGAGCTACTCTGCCGGTGAGAGTGCTTCGGTTTTGGTAAGGGAACAACCATGAAATTATCTCTTAAGCTTTGATTTATGTTGGGTTTACTCTAATTCCTCTTAGTTCTCCCAATTTTGGTAGCCCGCGAGCTTCCCCTGCCTTCCCGCCGTTCTCCCCAAGCCACAGCTCCGGTTTTTTTGCTGAATTTTTCTGGTATGTGGCAACTCTTTTAAGTTCAAATTTCATTTAATTAGTGGTTGCCTTGCTGAATTTGGTCCTTGTGTGACTGCCTGTGTTGTCCGAATGCCGGCAAGGGAAGAATGGAAGCTTTTGGCAGCTTAATTGTGCTTTTTGTTAATTCATGTGGAATTTGCTTGTTGTGATGTTAATTGTGGGAAAATTTTATGAAACTCCCGTCAATTGGCAATTTTTGCCTAAGTCGGTTCCTCCATTTTGTCTATGAGATTTGGAAATGTAAATATAAATGCACAATATGATTTTTAGAGCTCAAAATTCGAATAGGAAGTAAAATAAAATGAAGTAAATAAATAAAATAAATATTGCATTATGGAGGTTAATTGCCGGCAATATTGAAAAGAATCAAATAGGTAGTTCTCGTATGGTTATTAATTCTGGAATATTGTGATTAGGTACTTAATTATTCTGCACTGTAGCGCTTGGGATTAGTGGTCTGTTTGGTGCGATTTGAGGTAAGTAAATTATGATAACGCCCTCCGATTTTAAAGCACATTTTAATTTGATTTGTTTTTGAAGTGGCGGCGGAACTAAACCCGTTTTATACAAAATAAGTATGATTGATTTGAACTGAAAATTTTTATGATTTTTATGGATTTGAGCATGCCTACTTGAAGTTCATTGATTGTCCTGATGATTTGAAAGTTAATTGTAAAGAATGATTTTCTATTAACTTCTGCCTGTTCTGTCTCCGATGTGGTTATGTTATTGTAATCCTGCTAGTGGGGGTTAAACGCTAGCACATGTCGACATGTTATTGATAGAACCGGTTCGTTTGAGTGACCTTGCTAGTGGGGGGTTATACACCAGCAAACAGTGTAGCCTGCCAGTGGGAAGTTTAATACACTGGCCATGACTTATAGAGGAGACGTCTATTTCGTTCCCGTATTGTACCCATTTTTTTCTGTGATTACACTTGTTGGCATGCTATAAGTTTAATGAGGGCACTCCATGTTTTACTTACTGAGATATTTTATCTCATAGTTTTTCTTGTCCACCATTTCAGGTAGTGAGACCCGACGCATGGGGAGCCCAGGGGAGTGATGAGCTAGACGGCTAGGCACTTTTGAACTTAGGTTTTTGTAGCTAAGCCGTTAGTCACCCATGCTTGATATAGAGATTTTGTGTACAGAACTTAGTGTTAGTCATGATTGTATATATATGAAGTGATAAATTTTGTACATATGACTGGTAAATATTTGGTAATTAAAAAGGCTTAGATTTGAATCACCTGAATTGCTAAGTAAGAACTCAGTAGGTTTCAAGCCTTGTGCATTTGTGGGTCTCGCTCACGAGTGCACGACGTCTGTCTCGCTTCGAGGTTTGGGGCGTGACAATTAATTACTATATATATTAGTTTAAAAGTTATTAACTTCAAAATAAATTGAAGCCAACTTAAACACTTAATATTCACAAAAAGATAAAATAAAATAAAATCACAACACATGATTGAAGAGAATCAAGAAGTTGATGAATTGATGCAAATTAAATTAATGACATATGGATGAGAATTTGAAGAGAAGGGAGGAGAAATAGAGGACACTCGGTTGAGAGTAGAGAAAAATGGATGAGCAAATGGAGGATAAGGAAGGACAATGAAGGCAACTGGAGGAGAAATGGAGAAAAGCACTATCATCAACATGCAGAGAAGGGGAGGAGAAATGGAGAGAATTGTGTGAGCAGCGAGGAGAACAAAAAGAAATGAAAAGTGTTATGCAATTTTTTTTTTTTGTATATATAGAGCATTTAGCATCATATATCACATTGTTGAAAGTTTAGCCTCCTAAAGCCTCTTCGTCACTAACGAATTTCATATTGCTAATAAATATTTAAATTTCAAAAGATTAGAACTCATCACTGATGTAAATTATATTGCTAAAACTAAAAAGTAAAATTTTTTTGGCATTCACCGAAGTTGGAAATGTTGATGATTGGTTAAAACCCCTTTTTTCTTCCTATATTTTAATGAAAAGCTTATTTTTTAGTCGTATATATATATATATTTTAAAAAAACTCCTTTTTAGTTCTTAAAATTTATTTTTAAACTCATTTTTGGTTACTTCGTTAAATTTTTTTACACCTAACACATTAATTAACAAAATTGCATGATTTACTCTTTATTTAAATGACGTGAAAAATCTACATTGTAAAAAAAAAGAAAAAAAAGAGATGTGTAACTTTGAGTTCACGTAAACATTTCATATAAAAATATTAAATTCTTTTGGTAAGAATAAATTTTTATTTCTTAATCTTAAAATTACAACATGATTAACTTTAATTACTCATTACATTAAATTATTTATATTTGATCGGATTAAAAAAAAAAAGGAACAATTTTGGCTTCTTGCACATTGTTAAAAATGAATATTAGCAACATGTAGCACGATACTAAACTTTGTAAAGGGCAAGCCACATCACGTAGGAGTAGCATTTTTTGGCGATGGCTTCCAACAATGTGCAGTATGTTGCTAAAGATAAATATTAGCAATATGTAGCACAATACTAAACTTTATTCAATTCAACCTTGTAAGGAATCGGTGCCTACAGAGTCAGTGGCGTTCACCGACATGCATCACAATACTACATATCACTCGATCCATCACATCTGTAGGTAACAACAAAACTACAGTATAAAACAGTGTCAACAATAAAATTTACAATGGTTCATACAATTTTTATGTAAATGCTTAGTTTGTAGTATAAATGATTCAATATCCCAAAAATAATTTTAAAAAATGGTAACATTAATGGTGAAAATAGAAAGCAAAAAAATATAATTCAGATTGTTACATAAAATTAGTGTATAATATTGTTTCTTCAAAATCCTCAAATGGCTTGGCATGTGTGGAATTTGGATGCTAGCATGCCACTTACTTTGCTGAAAACAAGAAAAAAGAATTTTCCCAACAACCCTCTTCTTCTTCATGGTCGACTTCCTTGTAGATGGCAAGAAGAACATTGATTTAAAATTAAAATCTATGCCTATATATGATTTGCAAGAGGGAGAGATGCCTTCTTCTAGAATGGGTTACTAAATTAGCCTTGGACAGCTTTAAGGACTTAAACACTACTGTGAATTAAAGTTAACAAATTCTAAGTGAACTAAATGGCATGAAAATCAAAGTATATTTGCAAATAAAAAATGCATCCAAATTAAATTGAACATGTTCATTATTAGATTAAACCACTATCTACAAACAAATTTGGAGATTAAAGTACTATAGAATTGAGGATTTAACCCTAAATAACACCAAAGCAAATACGAATAGAGACTAATTTAACATGCATGAAATTGAGAAGAAGTGTGAATGCTATATCAGTAATCATTTGATAAAATACTACTTATCATAAACATTAAACAAATATCAATAAAAAAAAAGAACAGTACCTTATAGAAATTCAAAAGCTTGATGTTCATTAAATGAAATGAAATTGCTGAAGCAAATACATGAACTAATTTGACTACTAGAATCATGAAAAACAACTTAAATCTACCGGGAACTGTGATGAAGTTCGAAATCTATAAGTTAAAGTGAGTAATCACATAGATATTAGAAATCTAAAAATTTGTCAGGTTGTGTGCAGAACTGGCCATGTGTTGAATAATCAAAAAACTTCCTTTTGTTCTCTTTTACCTCACCTACAACTCCCACTCAATGCAGTTACTCGAATCATGGGCAGTTTCTTAAAGAAGTGGGACAACTCAACAGTTGACATAATCATAATTCCTTTTAAATTTCACCATCTATCCCATTATCAACTAACTCACATCCATAACTGAAACTAAGTACTAAATTTTAGCTAAAACAAATCCAACGTGACTCAAATGGGCAACCAAAAGATAAAATCTTATTTTTTTAGCTTCTTCCTTCCTATGTAGCCTTTAATTTGTCATGGGACTCAGAGTTACATATCTGACATGGTTCAATCACCTCTATTTATTAAAAAAATTTTGACACATGACATGATCTTAAATTTTTGCAATTTATGGTGTAAACAAATATTATGTAAATGAGGATATAAATAATGCTACATATAATTTTTACTAGTGTAAATAATTAACATTAATTCACTAGGAGACAAATAAATAGATATATAATAAAGAAATATATTTATTGACAATAATTTATTGACGTTATTGTTTAAGAACAAAAAAGTGTGAATAATTGATAAAGGTTAAAGTTTAAAAACGAGATAGATGCAAAAGAGAAAATAGGGGAAATTATATATTATACTGAAGAATAAAATAATTAAAGCAAAGATACCACGATTTTTGAATAGAATGTTATTTTTGAACTATGTAATCCCAAGCAAAAACCCACACTTTGCCCTTCAACTTTTCGATATTGAGGGACTTTACCCTTCGTTTTACAACTTATAAGTTTCTACCCTCCTATTTTTCAAGCTTAAGATAATAAGGTAATATTTAACATTAAAGGGTCACATGGCACTTGTGCACTGTTAGCCTCTGTCATATATGTCCATGTTAGTGTCATGTTGGACTTTTTTAACGCTAGCAGTGCCAGCTTGGATCTTCATGATCAAAATTCTACCATCTATAATTTTACATGGGTCCCATGCTGACAAAATTTGAAAAAAAATAAAAAGACAAAACTACTACTCTCTTTATTTCAAATTAACTTTATCTTTTTATTTTAAATTTATCTTGAATTAATTATAGTTTTTTATTTTTCAAGGTAAATAAATATTTCTTCTCTACTTTTACCTTATTATTATCCATTCCCTTTAATTAATTATATAATCACAAACATTTTTTTATCTTTTATTTTTTAAAAAATATTATAGATAAATATAAATATTTTTCTAAAATCTTTAATTTAAGAAAAAAAAATAGAATGAGTATTTTATTTTGTGAAATTACTATTTTGCCTAGTTATTTTAAAAAACAAGATTCTTTTTCTTTCCAAATTTACCCCTTATTATCCCCATTCCTTTCCCAGCTCTGGCCATCACTCAATTGGCTTTATTATCCCCTTTCCTTTCTCACCTCCAACAATCACTCAATCGACTTTATTATCCCTTTTCCTTTCCCACCTCTAACCATCACTCAGTCATTAGCTTTATTATCCCATTTCCTTTCCCACCTCCAGCCATCACTCATTCATCTACAAAACCCCCCACCATTATAGCAAGATTTGGGGTTACAGATTTGGGGCTACTCTCTCATCTACCTTCACCAAGTAACCTCACTGTCTTCTCTAAATTTGCAGAAACCCTAAATTTTCAACCCCAAATCTATAACCCCACCAACCTGTTTTCTCCCTTAGCTTAGCTTTGCTTTTTGATTATGCTTCCTTCTCTCATAATGTTCAAGAACACTAGATACGTTCACATTTCTTCCCAACCAAAAAGCTCGAGGTCACCCTTGTTCATCCCCACAACAAGCTCGCGGATTTTGTCCCTAAATTGTAGATCTTCATACTACTCTATGGAGAAGGCCTTAGGAGATAGTTGCACTAATTCGACACCATTGTTGGGGAAGATAGTGGCTCAGATCACAATGGAAGTAACAAAGATGGCCACTAACCAATTTCTTGAGTTTCCCTAGTAATGTTTTTTCTTCTAATGAAGAAGATGAAAATCGTGCTTCTTGGATTGGTATCTTAAAGAATAGATGTATGATTCGTTTATTGCTTCCTTCTTTTTTTTTTCAACAACTTAGATTGATTCTTGGTATGCTCTAGATGATGAAGAATGATGAGCTTCCTAGGAAAACCTAGGTTGATTATATCTTACTATGAGGTCTTCGATTTTGAGTTTGAAGAGAACTCGTTCTTTTTGCAAATATTACTCATGTATGTGATTTAAATCTTCATTTGGATGTCATTTTTTTGTGGTTGTTGTGTAAAGTAAACAAATGAATAATCTTAAGCTATTCACCAGAGAAACTAGAGACACCAAACCAAGGGAGGACATGGAACAAAAAAGATAAGGATGAGAGGGCTTTGGGTTCAATTGACTTTTTCTTTTCTTTTCTTTGCCTTTTCTTTTTCTTTTTTTTTTCAAATTATGTCAACAAAGACCCCATTAAATTATAAATAGTAGAATTTTCACTTATAAAGATCCAAGCTAGCACTGCTAACATGTAAAAAATGTCTAATGTGGCATTAACATGGACATGCATGATGCAAGCTAACGCTGTATGTGCGACACGTGACCCTTCAACATTAAATATTGTCTTGTTATCTTAAACTCGAAAAATAAGAGGGTAAAAACTCATAAGTTGCAAGATGAATGGTAAAGTCCCTTAATATTGAAAAGTTGAAGGGCAAAGTGTGAATTTTTGCCCATAATCCAAAGACTTTTTTTGAAATGTAACTCCTATCTTATAAATAAAAAGAGTTTAATAATTTATAAAGTAATTATTTATAAATAAAAATAAAGAAAATAATTATGTAAAGGGTGGAGGATATGAATTGAATTAAGAAATTAAGGGAGAAACAACAAAGATTAGAAAGCAAAAAAATGGTATATATAAATAGATGCATGTCATAATGATGGTCATATAATTGAAAGTTAGCTGGTTAAAGTAAAACAACAATGTGAGCCACGTTAGTAATTTATAGGCTTCAGTAACACGTTAGATGTTGCTAAATCTTCTGTTGGCCAAAAACTTTTAGCAAGGTGTAACACATTGCTAATTTTTGTTTCAACAACAAAAAAATTGTTACTCATTCTGTGGCCCAATTATCCATACAATGTGGTACTATTGTATCATTTAGCAACATATCCCACATTGGTAAATCTTCCTATCACTCACAAACCAAATTATGTTACTAATTATTCCTTGCTAAAATCAACATTTTAGTAGTGTTCGTCGCAAAATAATTCATTTTCCAGTAGGGAGTCCTATGCCTTTGATGTGGATATGGTATTATTGGCATTAGGCCCATGAATAATTATACAGGGGCTAGTTTACTGTCACGCCCCAGAACCCAAATCCAGGGACGTGGCAGACACTGTACACTCGTGAGACGAGTCCCACAAGTGCACAAGGCTCGGAACTTATCATATCACATCTGATACCATCAAAATCTGAAGATCAAATTTTTAAAATTTACTCTGATATCATAAAATCTACAAATACACCCTAGCTTACAAGATCATGATTTCTAGAATCTATATCAATCTCGAAATGGCTAGCTTTCTAACTCGTCACTTCCCGTGGTTTCCCCATCCTCGATTTCACATCCTGAAATGGTGGACAAGGAAAAACTATGAGATAAACTCAGTAAGTAAATATGGAGTGCCCCTTATCAAACTTAAAGCATGCCAACAAGTACAATCACGAAAACAGATACAGTACGGGCACGAAGTAGACGTCTCCTCTATAGGTCACGGCCAGTGTATAATCCTCACTAGCAGGGCCACAATTTGTTGGTGTATAACCCCCACTAGCTGGGTTGAACGAACCGGCTCTCTCACTAACATGTCGACATGTGCTAGTGTTTATAACCTCCCCCACTAGCAGGGTTACGAATAACATGACCACATCGGAGACAAAACAGG